ATATGATACAGTTTGGAAGGACAGACTGTTATACAAATTGTGCCACATTATCCCCTGTAAAAATCTTATTCAACTAATTAATAACATGTTGAGTGATAAATCCTTTCAAATTATAATGTGGGACAACATAAGTAGGGTAAGAAGATTAAATGGCCTCCCACAAGGTTCTGTTATGGCACCTACATTATTTAATTTATAGATATCAGATATGCCAGCGACAAGGGGATGCAAATTTGGATATGCTGATGATTTGGGCATAGCAGTGCAAGAAAAATACATGGAAGTGGCAGACAGCCTCCTTTCAAAAGATCTCAACATCCTGGGAATTTTTTTTACTGATTGGAGGCTTACTCCTAGTGTTAGTAAAACGGTGACTACATGTTTCCACCTTAATAATAAACTAGCAAATAAAACCCCGAAGGTTTACCTGAATAACAACTTACTTCCCTACAACCCTTATCCAAAATACCCTGGGGTAAGATTGGATTGGACTTTTTCTTATAAGATACATCTAAAGAACATGGCCACAAAAATTAATACTAGGAACAACATACTCCAGAAATTAGGTGGAACAAAATGGGGAGCTTCAGCTGCCAACAACTTACTTCCCTACAACCCTTATCCAAAATACCCTGGGGTAAGATTGGATTGGACTTTTTCTTATAAGATACATCTAAAGAACATGGCCACAAAAATTAATACTAGGAACAACATACTCCAGAAATTAGGTGGAACAAAATGGGGAGCTTCAGCTGCCACCCTTAGGACATCAGCACTAGGGTTGGTCTACTCCACAGCAGAATACTGTGCCCCTGTATGGCTTAACAGTTGCCATACTAGCAAGATAGATGCCAGACTTAATGACACCATGAGGATTATAACTGGATGCATTAAGACCACTCCCATTCGCCAGTTTTGCGAAGGCAAGATGCACTAGAGAATATAGAAATATAGAAAAATCACGAACAACCCACTTCTTCTGGTGCATGCTGACCTTCCCTACTTATCACTTGGAAGGCTTAAATCTAGGAAGACCCCATTGGTACTTGCACAACATTTGCATAACAGCTTCAACATCGACTCCCAGTGGAAAATTAAATGGGTTGTCAAACGCCCAGATACAGGAAGACATATAGATGACCCTAAACAAAAGATGCCAGGTTTTGATCTATCTCGCCAGCAATGGATGACCTTGAATAGGATTCACACCCTACCTGGCATCTGCCAGGATTCATTGCATAAATAGGATATCACATCGTCACCTCAGTGTGACTGCGAGGTTGCACGTCAAACTATAGATCGCATTGTGACCAGCTGTAAGCTGAGGGCATATAATGGCCCAATATCTGATTTTTTTTATATAAAT